TCCGGAATACAACGCGCTGCTGATGCAGTGGGGACAGTATTTGATCCATGAAATGGCCAAGACAACTCTTGTTCCGTCAGCCAAGTGTAACGTATGCCAAAACATTCAAGGTCGTTGTATGGCAGTGCCCATACAACCAAGGGATTCAAACAGGAAGTTCGTTGATCAGTCGGATGGATGTTTTTTTTAAAAAATAAAAATCTTGTAAATTTTATACTTCTTTTTTCACCATACATGTTCTGTTTGTTTCTTTTTACAATTTAATAATTTTGAAACCCCGTTTCTTTTGTATCGCCGTAAGCCGAGTAGGTCATAAGCGTTCTGATTCAGGAAATACAATATTAGTAATTTACATTGCCTCAGTAGGGAAAAGAAAGATGCGGATTTTCCTTTTTCTACTAGAATTTTTTTTTTATTTGCAAAATTTAGATGAATTTAAGATTTTTTGTAAGTTATAAAGATGTTTCGAATTTCAATGTCTGTTTCAGTTTCAAGTCAAATAGATGTATTCGAGTTTCGCGGTCAAGCGCCATTTGCGGTTCTGGCAGACGTAAACCACGTCAGCAGCTGAATGAAAACACCAATTTTATTGATGGTTCACCAATTTATGGCTCAAGTATCGGGGTACAGCTATATTCAGATTTACATAGGCGGGCTGTCAGCCACAGAGCTGAAAAAAGAACGAGAAAGGATACATAATTCTGAACCAGCTGTGATTCAGTCATCTTCTAGCTTTACGATTATCCACAAATTCCTGGCCTAGATGATTTGCTAGAGAGATAATCAGACTGGTAGACCAACGACTGTTTTTATCTTAGAAAAATTTTTTTTATTGAGTAAGCGAATTCATCAGTATTAAGTGTAAAATATGATGAAAGGAGTGAATACAAAGAAAACAATTAAAACGTTGGTTTTTTTAATTAAAATCTTTGAAACAATATTATTAGACATTTACACTCACCTTCGAATAATTGCCCTTCTTTCCACTTTTTGAACCGGTCATTCACCGGTCATCCTCTTCTTGTACCTTCCTCCCCTCTTCCTTTCCATTTCTTCCACTTCAATTTCGCGCTTTCTGTAGTTGTAATAGCGGGGTTGCTAAAAACACCAGTAGTGTAAAAAAATCACATTGCTATGTGTTAACGCATAGCATATTCAGCAACAAGCTGTATATGATCTATGATCAAATCGTGACTTTCAATTATGGATCCGATTCAAAATTCAGGATGCATTTCTTTGAATTTTAGCCCAGTTTTAGGCAGACTTCACTAATTATTACTTGAGATTTTTGGCTAAAAACTGTAAGAGGCACATGTTCATTTTAGTAAGCTAACAACCCAAAAACAATAGTGATTTATGTTTTAGGATTTGCACAAAGTACGGGACGGTCGTACGGGATTCCTGAAGACCCCGACG